CCGATAACTCCAAGCAAGAACGGATTTTCGTTCGTGCTTGTGATCCAAGACCTCTTCACCCGTTGGGTGGAAGTAATTCCGTTGCGCCGAGCCACGGGAAAAACAATCCGCGAAAGCCTCGAGAAGGTAGTCATCGCGCGATGGGGGACCCCCCGCGTTTTCTTCTCAGACAACGGCACCGAGTTCGTAAACCGCGAGATAAAATCGCTCTGGGCACGTACCGGTACTCGCCATGAGACGACCCCTCCGTATCACCCCCAAGCCAACCCGGTGGAAAGGGTGAATCGCGTGCTAAAAACAATGCTACGAGCATTTATCGAGAGTGATCATCGGACTTGGGATGTTCACTTGTACGAATTTCAGTTCGCGTATAACACCGCGTATCACGACGCGCTCCAAGCATCACCCGCGTTCGCTAACTTCGGTCGGGAACCCCTCCCGGCTGTTTCCCTCAAGCGTGAACTTGAAGGCGACCCCGAAATCCTCCCTAGAAACCCAGAGGAGTGGATCGACCGAATGAAACGGTTAGACGCGTTGCGTAAAGCTCTCGTCCACGCTATGACGGAATCGTCCAATAGGCAAGCGCATCATTATAACCTCAGGCGTCGGGACGTAGAGTTTCGAGAGGGAGATCTGGTGATGCGTCGATCTCACCCCTTGTCAAACGCCGCGAAGCGATTCTCCGCCGCGTTAGCACCTCCGTACGAGGGCCCCTTTATCATCGACAAGAAATTGTCCAGGGTCCGCTACCGGCTCGTCGGATTCGATGGTCGCCCCCAGGGCGAAGTCGCAATACAGGACGCGAAACCATACGTCAGCCCGGACCCCGACCGGCCGGCGGCGCGAAACTACCCAGACAACGCCGTCTGAGGAATCTCCCCCCCTGTGAACGAAGTACTCCGGTCATTTTCCGTTCACAGGCCACGAAGGAGAAGAGAAAGAGGGAGAGGGACGGGCCACCACCCACCACAGCCGACCCCATCAACGCCCGCACGGAGCCGATGGAGATCGTGCCCCCCGAGGTCATCGACCTAGACAGTCCACCCGTCCTCACGAGGGAGGACCGGGTGGGGACACCGCCACCAACATCGGTCGGTTTCCAGGACGCCCCACCCACACCAGGCAAAGCCATCGGCGTTATGACCCACGTGCCAAAGGACACCGCAGCCAGGATCCAAAAACGGGCGGCAGCCTCCACGGCCCCAGGGTCAGTAGCAGCCGAGACTGCAGCCCCCCTCGCTCCGGCGGGCGGGAACGCACCCCCGGAGGGTGGTGCTGCAGGACCTGTGCCGATGCCGGACGTGGAAGCCGTCCCAGCCACACCAACACCCGAGCCCGCGGAGCTAACCACCCCGACCGAACGACGTGCCTCAGCAGACACTACTGTGGCGGAGCCCAGCCGGGAGGTCATCCGGCCCCGCGCCAGCGAATATTGGGCCGGCATCAAGCCGTACCTGCGGAGGATGTGGAAGCTGGACGCGAGGGCGCCAGGGTTTGTGAAGGCCCTCCAAGCAACCCTGCTACAACCCCACCAGTACCCGATAGGCACCAGGGTCATCATCCCCCAGATCCCCAGACCCGAGGCGACTCCTCGCCGCCCTCACCACAGCAGGAAGAGGAAGTCTTCCTCGTCGTCCACTACCTCATCGTCGAGCTCCAGCGAGTCCTCATCAGACACGTCGAGCAGCTCCAGCTCGAGCTCCACCGTGGAGGAGAAACGACGGTCAAGACGAGCCCGTAAAAGGAGTCAGAGGAGGAGAGGATCCGGGCGTATCGGGGCCAAGGAGGCTCGGCAGGGCCCAACCAAGGCCATTCCACCAGCGCCCCAGGCCAGGGAAGACGTGGACGAAGTCCTGGTGCTTCACCCCTCGGATGCGGACACCATCGGGAGCGGCAGCGCTCCACCCAAGGACGTCGTGGCCCCTTCAAGGGTCGTGGCAGCACCAGAGGCCGTCGTGCCCGCCACCCCAACTCCGGCGAGAGCTCCATCGGCCGCCAGGAGGTCAGCCACGACCCTGGCAACCCACGCCGGCGACCACCCGCCTCCTCGGCGGAGCTCCGAGGCCAAGGGGAGGCGTTCCCGCCCCTGGTGCTATGATTGTCACCGGCGGGGACACCAGTACCCTCAGTGCCCTCACCCATCAGGGGACCCCTTCTGCCCGAAATGTGGGTTCCGGCTCTACCACACCGATGTCTGCCCCACACACGGACGCTGCCCGAAGCGATATCTGGAGTACCCTAACTACCCCCAGTACCCAGAGTACCCCACCGAAGCCAGCTACCCACGAGGACGGAGCCGAACGCCCGCGGACCACTAGCCGCTGCAGCCAGGACACCGGACGAGAGGGGACGTAGCCACGGGCCGTTCGGGACCCGGAGGAGGAACTCTTCCCCCGCAACGCGGAGACATTTTTTTTCTTGGTTATATAATTTTCCCGCGAGCGAAGGTTTTTTTTGTTGTTTTTTTGATTTCCCGCGTGCGGAGGGATATATATTTTTTTGGTTTTCTTTGTTAAATTCCCGCCACGCGGAGGCATTTTTTTTTATTTCCCGCGAGCGGAGATTTTTTTTTGTTGTTCATCCCGCTCCGCGGAGGCTTTATATATCCTTTTTCCCCAGCCATGGGAGGCGTTTTTTTGTATTTTTCCCGCATAAGCGGAGACAATGATTGTATTCAAGTTCCTGCAAGGCGGAGGCATTTTTTTCTCTTCTGTTCGTTTTTCCGCAACGCGGAGGCACCTTTTTTTTTGTTTTGTTAATTTCCCGCGAGCGGAGGCACCTTTTTTTTGTTAATTTCCCGCGAGCGGAGGCACCTTTTTTTTTTTGTTAAGTTCCCGCAAAGCGGAGGCATTTTTTCTGTTCGTTTTCCCGCAGTGCGGAGGCGTATTGTTATATTTCCCGCACAGCGGAGGCATCACCTTGCTCCATTTTCCCGCTACGCGGAGACAATTATCTCCCTGGTTTTCCCGCTAAACGGAGGCATTTTTTTTGTTGAAGAATTTTCCCCGATTCCGGGAGGCGTTGTTGCCCCCGTTACGGGAGGTTCTTTTTTTTGTTGTAATCCTAGTCTGCCGCTAGTCGGGCGGGGCGAGAAGTAAGACCCCGCCACAATCATTGAGGATACCTTATTGTTTTTTTTGATACGGGCGACAAGTAAGACCCTTTTTACACACGTTTGTACATTTTTGTTTGGGCGGTTGGTAAGTCCCACTAGTGCCTTAAGATTAAGACTGACTAGGTAGGCTAAAGAAGTATTAAACTATTTACATTCCCACACCCGACCGTGTATGATTTCCGACCCCGATCTCAGGTCGTGGGTTCGAGTTTACCCGAAACCTTTGTTTTTCTCGGAGATATAGCCCCCGGATGCCAGCACGCCCAGCGACTGGACCCAGGACCTGGACTACCGTCAAGGAGGTCAGAGGGAGGAAGGGCGAAGGTAATGGGCATTTCCGGTCGCTTAGGGAAATGTCACGTTACAACACTTAACCGCGCAAACACAACAACTGTTGAAAAAGTACTGATAATTCTTGAGAATTCCCTCAAATATATACTCTTCTCACTTATTACCAGACCGTGGATGCACCAATCATGTATCCTTAATTAGATGATCAGCCAATAGACGTAGTTGTCTTGGCCAAATTGATTCCACAAAAATTTAAGAGTGTGGGTTTCAGTCATAACAAAAATACACGCGCATGTAATTCGATCATCACATTATTTTTCGTCTCTGGATTGCTGATCGTTGCAGTACGTGTTCAGAATATGCAGTTTGATCATATCTTTTACCCAAGACAAAATCACAAAATCCACAGATGACAAATTATCATAAGACATCAGAGTGTAACATTATCCGTGATTCATCGGATGCGTGATTTTTCAACGATTTTGAAAATGCTGCTGACAGCTTAGGATAATGAGGATGTTCTCGACCATGCTTACGTGAAAGAGGAGGATTATGATAAATGTCTCGGAATGTACTGAACCCCTCGAACTACATTTATGGGACTTATCAAAGGACTCGATGAGTCGATTGACCTCTCGTAGTCATTTCGTCGTCCATCTGTCACACCTCAATCGACGCAAGTAACTCACATACAATTACCAAAGATTTCTCTACCCACATTTTCAGAGAACTTTTCGGAGTGGACTCCGTACAAGGATCTCTTCCTTTCAATTGTGGTTTGGAATCCCTCTCTCTCGACCGTGGAGAAATTCCACTACTTACTTACATTTCTCACCGGTGAGGCCAAGCAGCTCATCTCTACTTTACCAGTGACGCAAGACTCTTTGTGGCCGGCGTAGAATACTCTTTTGGCCAGGTACGACAACGAGAGGTTGCTCATCTCCACTCAGTTGGAGAAGCTTTTCTCAGCTCCGAAGGTCATCAATCGCTCAGCCAGGGAATATAATGCACTTCTCAACTCAGTAGCTGAAGCGTTGAATGCTGTGGAGTCTCTTGAAGGGTCAGCTTTATTAATGAGCAGGGCCCCTTGTCGAAAATCAAGAATTTGTAATGGGACCGGCTGGCTTGCGTCCCTTGAAGTACACTCGTCGATCTGACGTAGCGTACAAAAGCGAGTTGTCCACTCGATGTAGTAGCGATGAGAGTGGGCAATGCTGCAGAGCTGCTTCCCAACAGACGGAACTTGAAGGGTCAGCTTTATTAATGAGCTGGGCCCCTCGTTAATAACCAAGAGTCGAAATTTTACTTTGGATTCGTTGGTTGTGATTAAAGCTGTGCACTCTATTTGTGGTTGCGAGGAGAGTCGAGTTGTACGCTCGGACTGCTCCCAGCGGTGACGTCAGAGGGTGGTCCTGCAGAGTTGCTCCCTTGAAGGCTGGGCCTAGAGAGTTGAATTGGATGACGAGCAGGATACCACTTGAAGATTTCTAGTCGACGATTTAATTTAGACTGCTTTTATTTGGCGAAAAACCGCCCTTTATATACTGTTCGGGCGTGATTCCCCTACCGCCATTGGCATTTTGAGATTTCGTCATCCAACGTTTTTTGAGGTATGGTGGGATGCATCTTCATATGATTAACAATGTGTTCAAAAGGGATGTTCCCGGGCAATGTACCCTCACCCTGATGCTACCCCCATTTGCCCAGGTGTGGGAGAAGTTTTTGAGAAAAAAACGGGAGGAGCGCGCATTGGCCTCTCTCTAATTAATGTTCTTCTAATGTCAAAAGTGGCATGTTTACCCATCTTTCTGACCTTCATGGCCCATAAATTTGACTCCTCCTTTGACGATGGATAACTATTGTTCATTAGAAGTCTCGCGTGTCAAATGCAGTGGATCCTTCGAGGCTCGAGATGTCCCCTTGTTTGGAAAACAAAAATCATCTGGTGAATTGTGCCAATTCCTGGAAGCCATCTCACAACTTTCGTTAGGTATGGGGTGCAGGTGACGTTATGGTCCCGGCCACCACCCTGTAACCAATGGGGGGAGGCACTCAGGGCAGATGTACCCCCCTATTGGCCTGCCTTTTCTTTTGTCGCTATCGGCACACCCTTGGCTGAAGTGGTCCATTTCTAAATTGCCGAAATTTTTTTATTCTTTGCGGCAGCTCCCATCTGCGGTTACCATTGGAGGATTGTTTAAGTTATTGGCCCCCAAATTCAATCGAGTGAAAAGGATCCCCTTGGTTATGCCTTTCATCAATTGTGTGGCTTCTTTTTAGATGATTCGTGGTTTCCAGGTGTTTTCGCCTTGATGGTCACTCCTTAACGCCTCTCAAGCCATAATGACGGCCACTTGAATACCTACTAGGTGGTCTCTTTTATTGTGGTTACTTCACATAATCGGCATTTAGGCCGGTCATACCGACATTCCTTGCTGTTGTATGGGATTTTCCAAAGCTCCATTTTTTGTGGATACACCAAGTTTTCCGAATATATATAAATAAAAAATTTTAACCGTAGTAACTGCGGCGTCCGCAACAGAAGATCGAAAGATCGAACGATTGCAATGCTTCCATTGGGAAGTAAAAATTTCGAATTCTCATATTTTATACTTTTGAGACCTGTCTCAGTGGCGAGTGAGTCCTCGTGATTTTAGCCTCTTGACTCTCAGGCTGAGTCAGCGCTGAAAGGAGCCTCAGGCCTTAAAAAACATTGCAATCTGGGAGGGATCAAGCTCCACTCCGTTATCCTTGGTGAGCTTGCCAAACCCTGTTCTCCTCTTCAGCCTTTGGAATTTTTATCAGGGTTATATTCATCTTCTCAACAACGACTATTCATCTGCGAATAATTGGCTTGTAGTTATTAGGTAAAGTTGGTATTTTACCTCGGAATTATGGACGAGTATTAGATTTCATTTGTTGAACTGCTCCAAATATCGTTTGGACACAAAATAGTTGTTATTCCTCATCACGAAAACATCGAAAAAACCTTTTGCCTACTATTGCTGTCTGTTGTGGATGAAAAATAGATATTGTCGCTTCAAATTGATGGTATTGGTCGAACCAGGACTCACGAAGGGAGAAAATCCGTTTTCAGCAAGTAGCTCCGTTAAGTAGATAAAACTCCTCTCCCAGCTTTCATTAACAAAGCTCGAGAGTTGGCTGAGCTAATTGAGCCAAAGCTCTTCGTCCATCACTCGTTAGAATGAGCTTTCTTTTATCGTTTCTTACACAATAACAAAAGTCGAGAGAACGATTTGCTCGCAGATCGTAACTGTAACTGGTCTGGCCGTGGGTTGGTGTATAGCCCCTGTGATGTTATAAATTTTATATCACCTATGCTATTGTATATCGAAAATTCCAGTCATAAACACTACACTGTGAAAGCATTTTCACACATCACTTACATTTTTATGTTTACGATAGTACGTGCATAACTCTACCACTCATCAATCAATAACGTGTTCAAAAAGAACCGCCCACATCTTAATTGTGTACGTTTCTAAGCCATATGTGCACAATATTTTATTTTAATATCATTCAATGTGCACGATTTTTCCCAAAAACGGTCGTTTTTGTTTCGAGTGGATATCTCT